TATTTAAAAAAATTAATGTTTATGTAAATTTTAAGTAACGATAAGTACCTACAGTTTGAACTCAAGAAAATAAAATGTTTTTGAGCCTTTTTGTGCGGTGAGTGGTCCACGTCAAAATCCCGTGCCTCACCCATTTCTAATACCCTTCACCTTCCCCAGATGGAAATTGTTTCTATTGGTCCCCCCACTAGTAGTCGAGCTGTGCTTATAAAATCTCCTCTGTGATTTTCTCATGTCATTCACTCAGTCCCATAACATTCGTATCATACTTGGACGCCTTCTCTCTCCCTCCCTTCCTTCTCTTTCATCCCTTTTCTGAAAACAGAGGAATATAGTTATATAATTACATTCATTATCAATGGAGAAAAAGTATCTTGATTATGTGTTGGTTCCATTAGGGATTTTTATAATGGTGGTATATCATGTTTGTCTTTTATATCGAATCGTAAATCATCCTACCAATACTGTTATCGGAATCAATGCCATCAGTCGCCGCATCTGGGTTCGCTCAATGATGGAGGTATTCATTTCATTTAATTTCATTTCCCATTTGTGTTTTTTCGTTGTTTCTCGATTAGATTTATTGGATCCGAAAAGAGGTTTGAGAATCTACTGAGCGGGAAAATCCACGTAGAAGAATATAGGAAAAATATTTGAGTTAAATATAAAATGGATTGCTTTACTTATTATAGATTGATATTAAGTGGAATAGAAGTTTTATATTAATTAAAGTTTATAAGTCAATTTTTTTATGGTATAAGAAATTAATTAAACTATATTTTTAAAAAGTTCATTGTTTAGCTCACTTAACAAGATTTGACATATTAATCTATAAGATCCAATATTTATACTAAATTTGTATGTGAGAGTGTGTATTGAATAAAAAAATATCACATTAAATAAAAAGATTTTTATATATAGATATAACAAAACAAATTGAATTAAATACAAAAAAGAACATCTATTTCATATTTAATTAAGTTTTGTTTTAAAATCCACGCGTAAATTTTCATACAATCAAATAAGCGATTTCATGGAGTTTGATTTCATGATTCATCATGGCAGGATGTGACGAAGAATGGAGTTCTAGCGGTTCAAACGCTGAGAAACAACATAATGGCGTCCACGGTGCTGGCGTCGACGGCAGTCATGCTCAGCTCTTTAATCTCCGTTCTGATGATGAGCAGCTACGGCAACAACGGTAACAGCAACGGCAACAACAACAACAACGGTAACAGCAACGGCAACTGGTTGGCATGGTTCGACCTCGGTGACAGAAGCGAGCATGCCTTCTCCATCAAGTTCTTCTCCATTCTGGTATGCTATCTGGTGGCGTTCCTCCTCAACGTGCAGTCGATAAGGTACTACTGTCACGCCAGCATCCTCATCAACGTCCCTTTCAATAAGATGTCGCCGCACGAGCACCACCACCAGCTGACGGCAAATTACGTGGCAACGACGGTGAACAGGGGAAGCTATTTCTGGTCATTAGGCCTGCGGGTTTTCTACTTCTCTTTCCCATTAGTTTTGTGGATCTTTGGGCCCATTCCCATGTTTCTCTGTTGCTTGCTCCTTGTTTTCATGCTATATTTCCTCGATGGTACCTTTGAACGGGCCGTTGCTGTTTCCGATGATATTGACGACCATGAAGCCGAGGAACTTAGGGACACCGTTTGACTTTAATTTCAATTTTCAACAACCAAATTTCCCAAATTAGAAAAAGAGGGAAAAAAAAAAGTACTACTTTAGGTGGGTACATTGATGAAGGAGTCAACAAATAAATGTCAGCAATCTTAGGGTCTGTTTGGTTTCGGTTTGCAAATGCAGGGTCCAGTCTCCGTGGTTAAGGCCAAGGAGGTTTGTGGTAATAACTGGAAGTGGCGGAGCCACGTAGAAATGGGGAGCCATAGGATCCCTTGTTCTTGAAAAAATTTTTAAATTAGTCCTCACATTTTGTATTTAAGAATTCTATTCTTAAGTTAGGCTCTCTAAAACCGTGTTATATGTGGTTCGTTTGTACTTTACTCTTTTTTAGTAATTATTGAATATAATAATATTAATTTATAGTTAAAATTAGTTCTTAATTAATAAATATAAAAGTTGTTTCAAACAAATATTAATTTATTATAAATATATATTTAACTTTCTTTTTCCTCTTTATAGAATGCAAATATCAGAGGATTTTAAATCATAATATAAAAGACATAAATTATTAATATTATTCTCTTGGTATCTTTTTATTTACCTATACTCTATATTTTATTAATTTTTCTTATGATACCGTCTCCTATATATCTTTATATATTTTATCATTATATTTATTTATTTACTTTATTAACCTCACTTTCTCTCTTTTATATCAATAATTCTCTTTCTCTTCTTTTATTTATATTAGACATGTTCTAAATCAAAACTTAAAAGTCACAACCTTTTTAACATTATTTCGTTTATATCATTTTACTTCCATACCATTTACTCCCATCTCTTATTAATTTTTTTTTTTTGTGATATCATATCTTAATTTACCTTGTCACTTTTTCTCATTTTAAACTATATTTACCCTCACTTTCTTTTTCTGTATTAATAATATGATGGTTATTATTATTTCTCTCCTTATCCTCATCTAATATGATTCTTGTTTAGTCACCTTTTGTATTAGCAAAATGATTGATATGTACTCTATTTAATATATTTTTTAACATTTATTCAATTCAACCATTAAAAATATAATATAAATATAATTGATTCAACTAATTCTTATATTTTATGTGTATAGTTGCATTTTTAACTTTGCCTGTTTTTAATTTCATACTAGAAATAATACTTTTTTAATGAATATATTGTGTAATATATTAAACTAAAATGTGCACCAACTAATATTCTATTACGATATATCTATATTTTTTTTATTAAAGATTTCTCCTTTTATTTATTATTATATATTTTTTGTTTTCTCATGATTATAATAACATACAAATATCTTAAAATCACAAATAATTTGGTAATATATATAATAAATTTATACACATATCAACAAAACTATAAATTTTAACCAACATAAAATAAAGAGCCTACATTATCTACCTCTTTTTGCCTCTTTATATTAGTGATTTATTTTTCATTATTCATTCCCTCGTTATTCTCTTTAATGATGACTCCTTGACAACCTATAATCACAAGCAGAAATCAGAAATTGGATGGAGCACCAACAAGGTTGTCTATTCAGGTCTGCTGCCCTTAAAACAAGGATTTTATAGCATTTATCAACCACTTCA